ATCCCCGCAAAAACAACTGTGAATTTGTAAACAATGATTGACAACTACCTTTGTCATTTGTGGGTGTGTGATTCGAGCCCTCACTGATTCTCTGTCAAATGAGGGCTAATTTATTTTTCCGTGTGTTCTCCGTCTTCCACGGGTTCACTGTTGATGATTTTTATTCGGAGTGATCAATGCCCGACGTCGGAGTGATCAATGCCCGACGGAAGTGTCATCAGCCGCGAAGAGTGTACACTTACCGGAGTTAACCTTGAAAAGCACTCGAACGAAATTCCAACTTTAAGATAGTCACTTGCGACAGACTCCAGCTATTGCAAATTGACTTAAAAGGTCAAAAACCTATTCTGTATGAAGTTTTGGAAGATTGGTAGTTAACAGGAGTTGGTCACTTATGACGTGTGGTCGCACATAGAGGTTCCGTTGTATGTAAATTCCATTTTAATTTCAGTAGACTGGAATCTAACTTTAATATTTTCTTGGTAATTTTTGTTCTTTACAGAAGAAAGCTTAAAAAGGAGTCACACAGGGCTATCATGTGGAGTAATCCACATCTGTCGATCTACAGGCGTGAAAGAGTTGAAACCTTCACTGTAATTCTATGACAGTACTACAGAAGTGCTATTGAAGCTCAGGCAGTTACAAGGGTCGATAATGCAGCAATCTCAAGAAAGACCAGTCGTGAACAAGCTGATAGAGTTCGAAATACTGGCAACCGAATGTTAGATCTACAGCGGCAATTTTGCTAAGCAGCTCAGTTGTTCAAGTGTTGTGTAACTTGAAGGGACATTTAGCCAGTGGAACCAACGCAATAAAGTTAAACAGACACTCAAAACAACGATCGTCCACAAGATGGGCGATTTTGTGATAAGCAAGACCATCAAGGTGACAGCTAGTCTCCTTCGCAGCCGTTCTTTGTTGGAGACTAGGTGACGGCGGACGAATACCAATAAACGAAACGGGAGAAATAAAAAAGCAGCCAGATGAAGGCCCTCTTCCTGATTAGCCAGTTTTAGGAACTCGGATGGTAGGGAGCGGGCCAAAAATATGGCGAGCGAAAAAGGGAAATATATTTAAACCTGCAACAGGGTACGTTCCGCCGTACTTTGCGATAACGCTCTTAATAGACAAGATCTTGTATCCAGATCTCTTGTCGACGAAGCCTTCGACATTCGGCTTCGTCAGCAAGCAGTTGAACACGGTATCTGGGTAGGAGTTTATCAGAAGGAAAGACACCTGGGGATTAGGAATGCAAAGACGACCCGGCCACAGGAGCCGATTACCCCCCCTCGGCTTACAGACTTATCATCTATATGTCAGCGAAAAGTATTTCGCTTATAAGCCAACCACGTTTTAAGGCTTCCTTTGACACCACTAGCAAACCACAAATTTGTAATTCCCGCTTTTTTTTTCGTAATATCATGTATTCGCTATCACTAACATTCTTATAATAAAATGAGCGAGCTGTAAATTGCCCAGCCTTACACATTCCAGAAAGCTGAATTTATTGCAATCCATAATAAAAATACAATAGTTACAGTGAGTACAATGAATTAGTCATCAACTGATTTAAACGATGTTTGAGAACATGTTCACACCCTGCGCTCGCTAATGACTCCAGTCATTCCTTGCGATTTCCGCCTCTGCTTGCTTCCTGATTTCCGGGTGGAGCGCAAGATAATCATCCACCTTGAAATTAAAAATGAAAAATATAAATCACGGAACCAATTGTTACTATTACGTTAGACTGTCAAACAAACTTCAAGTAAAAAGGCAAGCAAACAGCGTGGCTAAGTGGTTAACACTGTATAGCTGGTACTTGTAAAACAGAATTTACAATCGTTTCGCCGACGTCCTCTTCGCCAACCTATGAAGTCGTTTCGCCGTGGCAGTTGTCCCTTTCGTTAAAGCTTGCTGCCATTTCTAAGACACTCAGAAAAATTTTGACCTGCTTTTGAGAGTGTTTCTATTAAAAAGAAAGAAAATCCCAACACAGCGTTCGAACCCGGACCTTTCGTATTCTATCTCTCTCTCTCATCACTACACTACAATACCGACCCCCCAAAATTTGGGAAAATTTAAGTGCATACTCAAGCAAATTGTCTTTCTCAACTGTTACATCAATAACAAGTGACTCTAGCCCTTTCCATAACTTTTAATGTAAATTCAACTTGGGATTCAACGTCGTTCTTTCTAGGACTATTCAAAAACGTATTATTTGCCTTATTGTAATTTAATCCTGGGAATATAATAGCGGAGCTCTCGCGCGCGAAGCGCGCGCAGCGGAGCACCATGGGTAAGAAAATGTAGTAAACTACCCATCCGAGAAAATTTGGTAATCACGTGACCGTACACCGACCGACCGCCTGACCGTCCGTCCGCACCACAGGCATACCAATGTANTATTCAAAAACGTATTATTTGCCTTATTGTAATTTAATCCTGGGAATATAATAGCGGAGCTCTCGCGCGCGAAGCGCGCGCAGCGGAGCACCATGGGTAAGAAAATGTAGTAAACTACCCATCCGAGAAAATTTGGTAATCACGTGACCGTACACCGACCGACCGCCTGACCGTCCGTCCGCACCACAGGCATACCAATGTATTTTAAAATATAAATATTATCGAGAGCTTCGCTTTTAGCCCGGCTTATCTATATATTACATCAATCGTGACTAAAGGCTCGGTTACCAATCGTGGCATCGACCGTTAATCAAAGAAAGACTATCGTCAACTCGTGGGTACGTTGTTTAGAAAATAATCAATTAGTTATCACCTCTGGTTTTCCCACAGTAAATTTTAGGAAAAGAAGAAGAAGTGCCTTTATTTACCATACATTCATTCATACACATAACCTACTACAATACTACAAGGAAGGAGATCAAGCCAGCGTCGAAGTTGAAGGAGTTGAAGAGCATATTAATGCTCATCTTCTCGTCAAGTTTAACGCCTGGACGAGTCAAAGGCTCTTGAATCGTACTAATCTGAAAGATTCCTGCGTGTATTAAACTCGGTAAGACCTCTATCCTGTAACCGTGCTGTAGCGCACGATGCACGCTCTCAGCGAGGAATTTGATGCCACCGAACTTCGGCGAGCGCGTGCTTCTTTGGAAACGATAGATCTTCGCGCTCTCGGGTTCAGACCCGATTAATTACGAAGTGCGTCTACTACGAGTGAGCGAGTGACTCATTTGCATATCCCTGTCCCTGCAATAACTCGTGGTAAGCTCGCGCGTACCCACGAGTTAAAAATGGCATAGACCGTTTACGAAAGGGAGATAGGCTTCGCCGTGCCAGGTCTTAAGGAACAAGTTATACACAATGTATTCGACTTTAATGAAAGAACGAGGTATATACATGTGTAGCGCTCGTCTGGCTCGTTTTGTTTCGTGAGCGAAACGTCTTGAGACGTTACCGAACGGGAACGGATGACCGGTCACCAAATACAGAAGTTTTGCATTCAAACCCTTTTCTCGAAAGGCCCGAAAAGCTGTTCTCTGCTTGCATGTTTATTTATATCCATGATCGGGGTATTAATAGTTTTGAAGGTCATGCAACAAAACTATCAGTTAAAGAAACAAATTGGACTGGTTTGTGACCTAGGACCCATGCTACTGTATTTCCTTGGGTTTTGATTTTAAAATTTGCCTTCGGGTCCGAAAAGTAACCGGGACTTTTGCGAAACGAGCCCCTAATGGATTTGTTCCACTAAAGTCACGAGTTCAAATCTTTCGCCATACTTTAATACAGGTAAAATCAGGCGAGGCTTTCCTGTAGATTAATCCAAGCGTCTCTTATGTTTTCTAGTCCAGTCATTTCGGCAAATCTTCAACAGGAAAATTTACTAGGAATGCTTCAATCGATCGCATTCAGAGCTTTGTGATCAGAATGAACGCGTGGATGGCTTGCCATCGAGCGAACTGTTGCTAAGTGACATACAAGCACAGGACAAAGTTCTGCAAAGGGCCTATCATTACATGTAACCCCAAACTATATTACATGACTAAAAAATAATTTGTGATAAACGTGTTAAAAATTCAGCTATTATAATTTTAAGAATTTTAGGCTAGACACTGACATGAACCTGGTTTGGGTAAACAAATGGTCGGAGGATCTAGGTTTCGCTGCAGTTTTGAGCTTACCGTCATTTCTTCAAATGGTTTCATAGACTTGATTTTCTGTAGCTGCAAATTCAAAACAAGATCGCTTCAGGAACTTACTCTCAAACCATTTCTATTTTTTCTTGGGTAACATGTCTTTTGTTCGAAAGTGGTTAACTTTGTCTTGGGTTTACGACTGAGGGCATTTTAGAAGTTTCCAGATTCCCAAGTAAGGGTTGTGTTTGACTAGGACCAGCTCCTCGGCGGGCACAATGGGCGAATAACCAGTATCAAGGAGGGCGCGAAGAAAGAGGTGAATAGAGGGGGACCGAAGAGAGGAAGGGACAGCGCCACCGCCCTTTCCCCCTGTACTGCCCAACCTCCCATCCCCCACTAGGATAATTTTTTGGCCCTGTTTCCCCGCTTCACCTCATTATTCGCCTTTTTTCCCCCGTAAAAGAGGCTGGTCCTCGAATAGGGACGTTTGCAAAATTCAACATTAAAGAGAGTGCTTCCCAAAATTAAGACGTACAGCCCTGATAAATCATTGCGGTCCTTGCGTTTGATTAACTATTAGCTACAGTATATGCTTGCCTTTAATAACGCATTGAAGAAAGACTATTGAATAATTATAATGTCTAACAGTTGGATCTAATTAAGTTAATATTGTTTGCATTGTTAACCAATTCGCATTTAAAACCACAAATTGAAACTGTAAGCATTGACTGGTCACCAAGTATTGATTGTAATCAATCAAATGGTAGCAGTTGCTATCAGTTATTTATTGGGCAGTAAATAGATTGTGCAGGCCAGACTTCCTTTCACTGTAATTTCACATGATACTTCTTCATTCATGTGATCTTCAGATTTGTTTAGTTTACTGGAAAAAAGTAAAGTGTTCACTTAAGAAAAGAGAATTCCAACACCATAAATTATGGCCACTGTTTTAGTTTTGTCAGTTTTCAGAACATCAATAATGGCCAATGGGACACCATGTGAAAACACCTGGCAGTGAGGGTTACGATGAACTCAAGCTAAAACCTAACCAATAAAAATTAATACTGCTACGGATTTTATTTGCTGTGACATTAGTATTTTTTCTGCTTCACTTTCATACCTCAGCTTCATATCTAGCAATCTCTTCATTAGCAAGCTTGACTGTCTTAACAGCATGCTCCTCCTGTGCGTGAAAAAAGAAAACTTTTATGTTTGGTGACTTCAATTCATGGCTACTGTTTAGGACCTTAAAGCTTATTAGACTAATCCATCCTTACTGTACATGAAATTCATGTCACAGTGTGTTGTATATTGAGTACAGTGCTACCAAGCTATGAAAGAGCACAATAATTTGCCAATTTGTTTCTTCTCTGACATGAACTGGTAATAACTACAGCAAGGTTTAAGAAAACAAGACTTCCATATGGGGGCGGGGGGGCGGGGAAAGGGGGTCATTGGGTCAATAATTTTGTGTTGATCATTCCAAATTGACTTCCAAATCTGTTAGCTGGAGGACCTGAAATGACCCGTCCCCTTCCTGCAAAAATTGGCCCCACTGAAGGAGGAATGGGACACGCAAAGCCTTCTGGGAGTTCCATCTGACATTTTGTCTTTTCTTTACATAGAAAGAAGTTGCCTCTTATTTCTTAATTGGGCATTGCCCTCATGGGCAGCCCAATAATGGACTATCTGGAGCACTAACGTACAGCAGGGTGCAAAGAAAGTCGGTTTTAAGGCTTGCCATTCGGGCAAGTTATTGCTAGTATGTACTAGCCCAAGAGTCCTTTAAGCAGCTCAAAAATCTGAATTTCTGAATTTCCCAAAAAACTTCACTTGCCCTTCGGGCAAGTAAAGAATAGGATTCACTAGCCCATTGCAAAATCCACTAGCCCCAGGCTATCAGACACTACATTCTTTGCAAGCTGGTCCAGGTTTGCATAAAGAATCAACAGGAACTGGCCCCAGTTGCTCCAAAAGCAAATAGAATCATGCATTATTCATTGGATAAAATCTCTATCCAATGGATAGTGCAATTATTACAGCTGAGGTTTTCCAAATACAAATCCACTGGGTTGATCACTAGTACTATGACTGGGGCTAGTTTCATAGAGATCAGAAACTACTAAATTCCAGTTTCATTTAATCCAGTCATAATTACATGTACTTCCATGTAGCAGTAATAAATTAGTGAATTAATTAGTTTATATATTTATTCTACAAAATTATTACATATAGTAGGTAGATTTTTTGTTTCATTATCTTACCAATTCCTTCTCTTTCTGGTCAATGATTGGTGTTTCCTTGTCCTTTGGGTAAGGCACAGTTATCGCCTCATACTGCAGCAAAAGCATATTATTCAACTGATAAGACATACTGAGGCAAACAATAGATACTACATTGTATGTTTAGTAGCTCTCAGTAATACTTACATGTATTGTGATGAGTTCTATTTACTTATTTAAAATATTTGAAAGTTACTTGACTTTGGGTGCATTTAGGTATGGTTTGAAAGAACTCTTCACCCTCCTAAGTTAGATGTCAAAGTTGTCTAAATAGATTTAGCCAGGGATAAAAGCAAAGCTCTCATTAATATACTCATAATTCAGTCAGACAAAAAGATACAATCGTGTAATGCTAAACGGCGACAGCAACGAGAACAGCAAAAAATCAGTAGGTCTAATTAGAAAAGAAAAAACGTGCAGCATACTTTCTTGTACATTCCATTGACGTTGTTTTGCACATCTACATGTACAACATGAAACTTCCTACATGTAGTTACACTGTCATCTTGTATAGGAAAAGTCATAGTAGCTCACCAAAAGTTTTGTTGGTTTTGTTACTGTTTGCTTTTTCTTTTCACTGCAACTCATTTTCACCTTGCTGGCTGCTACATGTAGCATTTCTCATTTTCTCACCACCAATTTTCATTTTTTTTTCACTTTCTACCTTTACCTATGCCTGTGGTGCGGACGGGCATGCATACGGTCACGTTATTACCAAAATTTCTCGGATGCATATAGAACCAAATTTTCTTACCCATAGTGCTCAGCCGCTTGAGCTCCACTGTTACTGTTAAAATTGTTGACTTCTTAAGTTAGCCTGGGTCGCAGATGCTCTAAACCTACTATATAATGCGTCTGCGAATTAGTGCACAATATCGTGTTTGAATCCCGTAGAGTCGCAAGGACATATGTCGGCATTATTGATTGGCTAGTTTCTCACGCAGTTTGTGATAAGTCCAATTTGAATTACGCGTTGACAGGCCAAACATGACTCATAGCTCGTGACAAGAGAGAAAGAGCTTGTGATAGTGTGAAACGTGACTTTAGAGTAGCTTGAACAGCAGATGTTTTTCTTGCCCTCTTTTTGCGTAATTTATACAGTGCATGGAGTATTCTACAATTTGACTGAGCAAATTTTTTTTGCCACTTTGAGTCTCACCTTTAGCTACATTTAGAGGTTGTGAAGCTGGTCTGCTCCATGCATATTGAGTAATTAGTTCCTGTGGTTTATTTTTTGGGAAATGTTTTCTGAGAGGATTTGATCACAGATGCATTATAAATGATTTTTACCTCTGTTTAAGCCTTAAGCTTTTTTATTGCAGCTAAATACGGTAACCTTAGTTTCTTTGGTTTTCAATGAAATGCCTGGACCTGAACAGCTACATGTGTGTAGTTTTTTTTATCGTGAATATCATGATGATTTCCTGATTTGTTTTGACTCTAGAACTGTCGGCTAGATTGCAGAATATGCGGTAGTGCATCTGCAGCGATTGGAAGACACTGGAAAACCAGCCAGCAAATTTACAAGCAAATTCTGGCCTTGAAGGAATTATCTCAAAGCACTTTTTTGCTCAGAAGATGGCTTTAAAGTTGGAACTAATCTTTCATTGATTACTGTAAACGATCCTTGCCAACTCCCTTCTGTGAATTTTGACATGTCACTGCGCCCAACTGTCACGCACACATAAAAATTAGGCCAATTGTGAGGCTCGCAAGAAACCCGTAAGAAACCCGCCTACCAGAAACGCTCACATATGTCCTTGCAACTCTGCAGGATATTAGAACGAGCTTTTGTGCACTAATTCACAGAAGGACTACACAAATGGTTTAGACAAGTGCGTGGGCCCACTGCAACGCAGGCTATCTTGAGTACAAGGGACATGGATCAACACAGGTGTTTAAGGACAACACAGGGGTGAATGGGTTAATGTAGCGATATTTGAGAAATGCCCGTACTTAAAAAGACATTCAAAAACTAGTGTTTCACAGTATCATTATTATTATTATTTTAGTAAAAGTAAGGTATATTTTTAAAGATGCAGCATATGAAGTAGCCTGCATAACAGGCGCTTTATAAGCCAAGCAAGGCAAACATGGCACTTTGTGTGAATTGTGAGACAAGTGCAAATTGTGATGCGAGGAGAGGAGAAAAAATAAAGCAGCTGTTACCAGTCCATTGTTTTGGCTCTTCCCACATTCACTACATGAATGTCATGTTAATTGATGATGTGTAGTTCTGGCAAAATTCTGGCATGTTTGTCTGGAAGTACAAATTGCTGTCATGCAGTCATGTTCTTTTGACAATACTGTTAGAGAAGCTCTTTGTTTATTTCCGAAATGTTCCAAATATAAAAGAAAAACAAAAGAAATGTTTATATTTATTGTTAAAGAGGAAGGAAGTTCTTAGATTGCTTTCAATTGGGTTTACTTTGGAAAAAGCCTGATTTACCAACTTTTCGAAATAAAGTGTTGACAGGCCAAACACAACTCATAAAACACGACCTTCGAGTTTGTTTGAACAACAGGTTTTCCCTCTTTCTTTCTCACCGCTGTGTTTGGGTATTCTAAACTTTGACTGTGCAAATCTTAATTTTTGCTGCGCTGAGTCTTACATTAATTTTAGAGGTGTTTAATGCACTAATACAGTTAATATTTTCTGTAGTTTATGCTACAATAACTGTAGGTGTTTCTGGTAGCCAGAGAGGTGACAACTTTCGTGCAAATGATATAATGGACCGTGTTTTGATTGGACCTTTTGCCACCACCGCTGTCAGTCAATATCTGTGGGCATGGATGGGCGGAAGAGCCAGGACAATGGACTGGTGACAGGCGCTTTATTTTTTCTCCACCCCTCACCTTGCGATTCGCGCTCGTCTCTCACAAAATGCCATGTTCACTTCGTGTGGTTCATAAAGCACTAGTTACAGCTGTATGCAGGCTACATACATTCTTTAATCACCGTTGATCCCCCTATTAGCTAAAACACGTCATGGAGTCATTTATACGATTTTTCCTTCTTTGGCCATCATTGATCACGTTATTTTATGCTAGTTTCCGCCACAAGACTTTGCAAAATGACTAGGTACACTGTATGACTTGAAAGCAGAGAAATAGCATTTGAAATAAAGAAACAGAATTAATAAAATATTGTTCATTCACAAAAATGTTTTACATTACCCGTGAGTTTTACAGGTTCTTACACTGAGGATGAGCCAAATTTGCCTTAGCAAAATAATATAATTTTACACAAAAAAGTTGTCTGGCATAGACAATGTTGTGAATTTCAAGGACTTTTCAAGACCTGATAAAGAAATCAAGTACTTTTCAAGAACTTAAACTGAATTCAAGGACTTTTCAAGACAACTGGTAAAATTCAAGATCTTTTCAAGATTGGACAAACCATGAAAATCGTTAACAGAATACTGATCACAACATTCAGCCACTGTTAGGTGTATGCGAACCAAATTAAGACTTACATGTAAACCTCATCAAGCTAAGTTTGTGGCATTGAAAAAGGGTTGCTCAGCAAAAGTTTTGCCTCTAAGTTGAAAAGCACTCCATTGTTTCAATAAAATTTTATTCTTCCTAGACACAACTTGAATTTATATACAAATGAATAAAAATAGTACTGCATACATGCATAATTAACTCAACACCAATTATGGTAATCCAGAAGTACCCAGTTGTATTGCTGCTTATAGATTCACAATAAACAAAAACAAATAAAGACAACTTACAGCTTTCCTAAAAGCTTCTACCATCCCTGGTTTGGCAATGTTCTTTGCATAATAATCCCAGTTAATTGGCTCTGGTTTGGCTGCAACTGCATCCAGGCTACAAAGTACAACAACAAACAAAACTGACAGCTTCTTACAATAAATGAGTTATTTCTTGCATGTTGCAATTTGGCTGACAACTATGGTCTAAGAAAATTATCTATTTTTGCTACTTTAGGCCCTTCAGAGGCCTATTTAAGGCTTCTGACACTTTTAATGTTTTCCAAGTTTTGAGAAAGATGGCTGACAGTCATCAAAACTGTCAGCATCATTAAGACNGTTTGGCAATGTTCTTTGCATAATAATCCCAGTTAATTGGCTCTGGTTTGGCTGCAACTGCATCCAGGCTACAAAGTACAACAACAAACAAAACTGACAGCTTCTTACAATAAATGAGTTATTTCTTGCATGTTGCAATTTGGCTGACAACTATGGTCTAAGAAAATTATCTATTTTTGCTACTTTAGGCCCTTCAGAGGCCTATTTAAGGCTTCTGACACTTTTAATGTTTTCCAAGTTTTGAGAAAGATGGCTGACAGTCATCAAAACTGTCAGCATCATTAAGACATTAAGACTGGCTATGTTTTGAGGACTTTAAATCGATATTAACTTCAAAAGCCTGATGAATTTCTTCAAGTACTTTAGGTCCTCTTCACACTCTGATGAAAAATAGAGTTTGGCATGCAAAAAATCTGCAAATTTGATCTTCACCAATTTTCCTTCTTGGCAACCTTCTATGCATCTAAGACATGCAATTTTTTTATTATTTAACCAGAAACTTCAGTTAAAGAAACTTTAACTGGGAGATTTAGCCTACAAATTGATGAAAGAAACATCATTTACTGACAAAATTAATCATCACCACATAATAAAAACAAAGTTGATGACTCCTGAGAATTTCAAGCCACACATGCATACAAATTAAGGCAAACTTGAAAAAAGACACTTTTTGAGTTAATCCATATGCAATCGGTTTAAATCTTCGCCATGTTTACCCATCTGTGCATCCTTTAGGATTTTCTCTAGGTTTCCTCTGCTTTATAGCTTAATATACATGTACAGCTGTACAATGTGCTTACTTTCAGTCATTTCTGTGATCACTTGTAAGTATAATGAAACTATCTTAAAAAGCACTTCCTAGCCCATTTAACTAAGACAATGTCCTATAAACACACTAAAATATAATGAAACAGCAAAAATAATGTGATGAGTACAATATATCACATTGCAATGTTACCATACAGAAACACAATGCAAACTCACCACAAAACAACCAAATTTTATAAAGATAATGGCAAAAGTGTTAGCCACTTCATCTGCCTGCCCTTTTTCACCCAAACAAACCACAAAACATCCTTCTTCCACGGTGGTATTTTTTTCTGAATTTTTTTTTTTTTTTAATCTCTAGTTTTTATCATGAATTGACATAGTTTTGCCTTGATTTCTTGTTGTTTTGCTGTGAGATTTGCCACCGTACCATGACACATATGGGCCGCTTTATCCGTCTCCCTAAAAATAAGAGAGCTACATGTAGTTCCTTTCAGGGAACTCATACCTCAGTATGCTGTTCGAAAGGTGAATTATGCTATCCACTTGATTTATCTCCATCCAATGGATATTGCAATTAATTTCCCTAGTAATTATCCACTGGACAGTGACTTATCCGATGGAGAGCGCTATCCAACGTTTGAACAACCGAGGTCAATAACAATATCAGTGAAAAACAGTTTGTAATATTTAAAACATCTCAGATCAGCAATTATGCAATAGCATTAACGCAAAAATAAAGAAACTGAACACAGGATTTAGAAGAATATAACGTAAAAACAAATATACGCATGAGAATTGCTAAACAGATGCCCATTACACTGAATCAGAATGCATGTATTGTATCAGTATCTGCACGAAATGCACGTACTTCGATTCATGATGGCATTAAGTATTCCCTCACCTTGTCTTAATAGTCTCATACTGCATCCTAAGAGAATTCATATTCGGTTTTGCTTCGTTGGGAACTTTAGTCGCAATCTTAATCCAATCTGGAACAAACTGACCAATCCTCCGAGCTGCCATCTTTCGATAAAAACTCTCAACTCACTCTACAAGCCGGCTACAAGATTCAAGATGGCCGCAGAGGAAGCCGCACCGTAATGCACTATGGGTTGATTTCATACCCGGTCGGGGAGGGCTGAGACATGAGAAGCACTTTTAAATATCCTTTTTTTTAAAGGAAATATGAAACAAATCTATGTATTAAACAAATGAAATCCATTCATTTATTAAGCCATCTTATGCTTTCACTTACGCCTAAGTGCATAAACACAGTGAAATCTAATTTCTAAATAGTTCGACTCCTACCCCTCCCCTGGAATTTCCCTCCCCTGTATAATGTCGGATGTTGCAACGAACGCCTGGATGATCCTAGCATGTACTTTCATTGAGAGCGGAGGAAGCCTCAGTTGCAATGATGCGGTTTAAGGTTGTCTTCATATAGTGGCTCAGAATTATTATTTGAAGCCATTATTTGGATCTTTTCCTTCGGGAAAACCCAAACATCTAGATAGAGCTCAATGGATTCCAAACGATACGAAGAGGAAAACACCGTGCCGATAACGGAACGACCCAATGAACTGACACGGGATATCGATGTTGGTTCTGCAGGTGATATTGTCCGAATTCTGCGCCAGTGCGATTCGCAGATATTTTCGGGCTGGAAACACTTTCAGAGTATTTATGACGAGGAAACCATTTTTGCGATGGAAAAAGTAGTGGAGAAGGCTGCAGAAGTATTGCAGCAAAGCGGTGCTGTTGTGTTGAGCGGGTGTGGTACATCGGGGAGGATCGCTTTTTTCTTAGCTCAGAAATTCTCCAAGCTTGCCAAAGAACAGGGACTATTAGCGAGTTATGAATACATTATAGCTGGAGGTGATATTGCTCTGTTCATGTCTCAGGAAGCACCTGAAGATGATTGGAGGAAAGGCCAGGAAGATTTAGCACAGGTGTCCAGTAACAAGACCAGGGTACTGTATATTGGCATAACATGTGGTCTGTCAGCACCTTATGTGGCTGGTCAATTGGATTACTGCATGAATCACCCTGATGTTTTTATCCCAGTTCTTCTGGGATTCAACCCTGTGAGCCAAGCAAGAAGGAATGTAATAGAAGGGTGGAGCAAGTCATTCTATGATGTTGCTTGTGCTTTGCAAGGTAAGGAGAGCATGGTAGCCATGCCATTTTTATCAGCCTTTTTCAGGCTATCCAGGCTCTTGCATTCTCACTAAAAGACTAATAATTTGAAACTGACAAGAGATAGCCTACGTTGTTGCAGCTGACCCATGCATCCTCTAGACCATTAGAATAGTCTGTCTACCAATTACACCTGTAGTGCACAAAAGCTTGTTCTGGTATCCAGCAGAGTCACAAGGATGTATGTGAACGTTTCTGATAGGCGAGTTTCTCACGGGTTTCTTACACGACTCACGATTGGTGCAATTCTTACGTGTTCATGACGGTTGGGTGCAGGTTAGACATATCAATAGAAGGAACAAGGCCCCTACTGTCACCACCCAATCATTGAATATTAACTTAATATATCTGGATGCCTAAGAGGTTTTAAAAGTTTTGATCCTCTTCATCCCAACTCCCCCACCCCGCTTGCTGGGAAAATCAGTTGAAGAGATCCCAAATTTTAGAGGCAAAAGACAAGAGTGGAATAGCTTTGGAGATTTAGATACCCATTTGAAGGCAAAAAGTTATGACAAAACATGAAAATCACACCAAGCTAAGCTGGGAGTAAGTCTACAGGTACTCTTCCAGACTAATCAGGCAAGGCACCCCCCTCCTACCCCCAAGTCTCTGGATTATGATAGTGCAGAAACACAATTCCAATGAATACTGTATATTGTCTATTTTCTGCCACTGCAGCGATGGACCCTTTTTCTAATGAAAGCTCAGCTAACACCAAATGCAATCTCACCTGTTGTAGACAACCGATTTGATCTTCAAATGGCGACAGGAATATTGGCCATGTCTTGATCTGCTAAAAGCGGAGGAAAGCTTATAAGCACTTCAGTGCATGCATGTAGAGTTTGTGGACCTGACCCCCAAAAAAGAAAAAATATATATTCCATCTTTAAAGAATACTTTCTTCTTTATCTATTTATAAAGACAACACTCATCATTTAATTTGAAAATTTCCTGATACAGATTATGAGAGTGGAATCATCCTCAACCCAGTTGTTGGACCTGAAGCCATCACTGGTTCATCTCGTATGAAAGGTGGAAGTGCTACAAAAATTCTCCTGGAGAGCATACTGCTTAAAGCACATATTACAGTGGGGAAGTCATCATTAATGCCAGGCTGTATTGGTACACTTCATCAGTTTCTTTTGATGTATGAGCACATGTATCGAGCCACATACCTTAATCATTCTAGTATATCGAAAGCTGTAGAGCTGGCTGCAAAGAGCCTACAATGTAAGGGCCAAGTGTACTACACTGGATGGGGATCATCTGGGTTCATGGGCCTCTTAGATGCCTCTGAATGTGTTCCTACATTCAGTGCCCATTTTGATGACATCAGAGGATTTCTGGAAGGAGGTTATCATACTCTTAAGAACGAGGAAGGAGAGTATCTACTAAATGGATTAACAAAGCTTCAGATTTCTCTGAGAGATTTTCAAGAAAGTTTTTTGCCCAACTTGACATTGCATGACACGGTAACATTTATTTGTTCTGAAGGTAACGTCATTCAGCAAGTGAGGAAGTTGGTAAATCTGACAGAGAAGAAAGGAGCACATGTGATTGGCATTGTTTGTGAGAAGGAAAAAGAGTTAAGTAATGTTTTCAGGAACAAATGTCTAATTGAACTTAAACAACCATCAAGACACGAACAACTGTTTGATGGTCATTTACCAGTGTTTGACAGTATTTTGAACCAGTGTCTTATGGAGATGTCCATCAAGTGGATTCTCAATGCTGTCTCAACTGGAGCACATATAGTAAAAGGCAAAGTTCTGGGAAGTTTCATGATTGATCTCAAAGTCAGCAACAACAAGTTGTTCCATCGAGCAGTATCCATAGTTTCAAAGTTTGCCAGGGTTAGTCAAGAAAGATCTCATCTTGCTGTTTTACAGTCAATATACAGGTCTGATGTTGTTGACAGTGTACTTAATCAGCAAGTATCTCAGCATGTTTCTATAGCAACTGCCATGGATCAAGTTGTACCGGTAGCAGTATTAGTAGCTACAGGCAAGTTCAATATTGAGTCTGCTGTAGAGCTCTTAAGGACAAAAACAATTTCCCATATTCTCAAAAATTGTTGCTTCAACTAATGTTCACTTCGATGTTCAAGTTGATTGTGTGAGAGCATCCCTGTGTCCTGAAAATGTACCTTTAAATTGTTTAGATCAACAGTACTGTATTTTGAAAGTAGATTATTGCAAAAAAACAAAAATGCTGTCATCATTCTCATCATCAATTTCAAATTTTTAAAAGTCATGGACTAAATGTTACAAAAATGTGAGAAAATAACACTAACATGAAAGGCAAAATAATAAAGCACCAAAAAATCTTCACTGTGTTTTTCCTGAAAAAGAAGTTAAATTAGCCTTGAAAATTCCCTTTTGTTCGTTTTTATAAACCAAAAAAACATGTCGCGAATGAGGTAACAGGGGTAAACTTAAATGTCAATAGAAAAGTGAAATCGAGACTGAATCAAGGGTAAGGTAAAATGTCGCAGGGAAATCGAAATGTCATCGGTAAACTAAAATGTTGAGGAAGTATTTAAATGTCGTGGGTAAAGTGAAATGTGACATCACGGATAAGCTGAAATCTTGTGATCAAAGCGAAGCGCTTATAACTTAGTTAGTACTCCCCTCTACTAACTATGCTTATAATAACACTTTGCAAAAACCAAAAATTACTTTGTGTATGTAGATGCTCGTGATAAAAACCTCTAATAAAAGCTTTATGAACAATGAACCTTTTTATTTTTATTACCATTTATTTATTTAATTTTATGGGGGGTTGTAGTTCTTTTAGTTGAGATGAGGTAAATTTTATGATGGTGTTTTAACTTGCCTCTTTTAGCAGCCCACAGGTCAAGATGTAGTAGCACCAACAATACTGTTAAGCGGTAGTAGTTACAGTTATACATAAGTCAATTCCAGCTGCGCCCAGCCCTCCCCCCCTTCCCTTGCCTTGGATGGTAAATTCCCGGGGGTGGGGACTCTTGAGCTGTCAAATCCCCTGGGATGGGGACAAAAAAAGAGGGCAAATGCCACGTCCTCTGTCAGAACTGCAACATTTTTCAACAGATAGTCGAATAGTGCCATTTTAAGCATTTTAATATGCGATATTTTTGTTTCAATTAACGTCTTCCTTTCTAATAACTCTAGGATTCTAATATATATATAAAATATTTGATCATAAGATACTTAATTCTCAGCAGAACGACAGCTGAAGCTCACGAGTTTTATCAACAACGTTGATGACATTGTGCGTCAAGCTGGCTAGGCGCCACAAAGATAAAAGGTGTGAGTTTGTCAGCTATTGAATTTCACCAGGTTCATCATTTTTCAGCTTCACTTTAAAAAAACCAAACAAACAAATAGTCCTGAACTTTTCTCGTTCCGGCCTCATCTGGTATCGCCCGAGGGACTAACCCCGTTATCTGTCGGCCTTCAAAGACCAAAACTGAGAAGTCCCATTCTCTGCATAGTTCTATCACTGTTTGACATTGTTTGTATTGTTAAAAAATATACTTCTCTTGCAAGGAAACAGTAAAATTTAGTGCCGTTATCTATCAGCGCGGAGGAAAACACTTGAAATTAAAATCAAACCATAAAATATTCAACACAACTAGTTTCCTCTCAGCAAAACGATAGCTGAGGATCGAAAGTTCAATAAAAAGCTATTATAATTGACGTTTTTTGCCAAATTACTTATAGCTACTTATCAATAACGTTTTGCGTCAAGCTATTTCGCCGATAGCATCTGATAGCAAATAAAAAAGGGCGCTTACACCTGCAGTGCTCTGCAGAATTTACTGGAACAGCAGCACGAAGGGAAATTGTCGTTCTTTCAGTGGTAAATATTGTGCCTTCGATTACCTCATTTTTGGGGAACACTTTGATCCTAGTTGCCCTTCACAAGGAGAGCCGTCCAAACTCCTGTATCGTAACCTAGCGATGGGATAACTGAACTCTGTGTTGGTCTTCTTGCGGAGCCTTTGCATTGGCTGTCATGTACTGGATTTCTGTTGTGAACGAAATATGGGATATTTGTTACAACGCAGATTTGTGGGGAGTTTGTTACTTTGTGCCTTGTCTTTTTTTAAACTGACTGTAATAAGCGTTGACAGACTTCTCGCCTTGTTGCTGGGTCTCAGATACAGACAAGTTGTAACATGTTTAATATTGTTTAATAACAATTTGTTTATGGATTTTGTCCATTTTCGGTGCACTTACTTTGTTTTGGAAGCAACAGTTTTTTGTTTAGTGATCACAATGTTCGTCTACACTGAAATTTTCTTCTTTTTGCGTCATAATCAAATTCAGGTTCAAAACCATGTTGTTCAAGCACAACAGAGCCAAGTAATTCCACTCAACATAGCTCGATACAGAAAGGCGGTGAACAGTGCATTGTGGGTACAGGAAACATTGGTTGTTTGTTATCTTCTTTATGGTATAACACTAGCTTTAACGGCTGAAAGGGAGAAGTCGTTATCTAGTACTTACCTTGCTAGGCAATTTACGATTGCTCTTATATAGTGTATTTCAACTCATCATTAAACCCGTGCTGTACTGTTGGAAGATCAGGGAAGTAAGGCAAAATGTAAAAGAAACATTAAGGCGAATCTTTAGTTTACCGGGTTGAATTGGCAATACAAGGCTTTCTTCCTCTGCAGTTCCATGCTAAATAAAAACTAACTTACTTTCACTAAAAATTGCCCAAGAAAATTAGGAAAAAATGGTTTAAGGGTTCTTCTTAATCCCTCGCTATTTCCCTTACCCCTTTCAACGACTGCTACGCAAGCTACAATCATGGACAAAAGTGTTGGGACAGTTTTACGGTTCGAACGTCCCTACCCCCTCCCCCCCCCCCCCCCCCACCCCCCGGGGTGTTGAACCGCCGAAAAACAATTTCTTTTTTCTTTTTAAAAATTTTTTGGGGGGGAAGGGGGGGGAGATGGGGTTTTTAAAAAAAAAGATCTTTCTTTTTCCACTAATTTTTTTGTAAACCATAAATTTCACTTTTCTTGTTTCTTTTCCCACACCCTTTTTTCACGATTTTGATTGTTAGA